TTAAGTAGCATGCATTTTCCTATTGATTTTCGGTAGTCTTATAAATTCAGGCATATTTTACAGAAAACGCCTAAAATATGCTTTCTTTTGCTCATTTGGTAGAAAATCACATTGGCTTCATATTTAATACCCGAAGAAAGTGTACATTTTGGTTTTAAAAAAGTTTCCGATTATGAGATTTTTAAGACCGCACATGTCCGTTTACTAATATTCCTCATGAAATCTACGACACAGTCCGGACCCATTGCAAAATTTCATAAATACTATGTTGCATCTGCTTTAAGACATAGAGGAATATATGATTTTCCTTACGCGGAAAGCATGCACCTTGTAGGTTGAAATTTCTAAACGCTGATGCAGTGGTAGATCAGGCTGAAAATTATTCGGGAATAGGGAAACTTGTTCAAAGCCAATATATACACTTACTTCGGGCATTAAATATGAAGACAATGTGATTTCCTACCACATGAGCAAAAGAAAGCATATTTTTAGCAGAGGGGCGGCTGGGGTCGACTCTGGGGACTGCGTTCTCACACGCTGGGCCCCTATTCCCAACTTGAAACAATCTGATGCGCTAACAGCCGTGGCTTATAGGGTTCCCAACTGAAGGAATGACTCATTCGCCTCAGGGCGGAGGGTCAGGTTGCACTGACTCCTTCTAAATGTGGCAACACATTCGGGATCCGAACCCCTTGCTTCCGTGAAATCCTGATCCTTTGTGCTCGGACCAGGTGTGGCTGGCGCAAATGGGCTGGTTAACTTAGCCAGTCACCGCGTCCGATCTCTTCTCTGTCCTTGACTCTGTCTTGATACTGGACTCAAATGGGGGAGTGAGAAAGTGCGGTATATGCTGTGCAATTCTGCTATCATTTTAAATTGAAACATTCGGAAGCCACCGTTCCTCAACCCGCCATGCACTGGAACACACGGTGGATATCGTCGTTCGAGACGATCGAACAGTCAGTTGCTGTCGATCTGGAAGGACTGCATGAGCCATTCAGTTACCCTGATGTTTTTCAGGTATCACGCTTCGTTCGAACCAGGCATCTCCCCTATACGATGAAAGGGACTCGTAATGTTGTTAGATGCTGCAGGACCAAACTCCGCTTCTATTCTTAAACGTGAGGTCAGCTCATCAGGGCTACCCATCCATTCGAACGCATGTCAATCGACCTTAAAGGTCCACCTTTGTCGGTGATCCACAATCATCATAAACCAACGATTGTTGACAAATATTCTCATTTTTCATGTGCATTTGTCTGTCCAGCTCAGACTGGGGAGATTATCCTTAGGTGTTTATGACAACTCTTCTCCTCGCACATTCACGCAGATCGAGGGTCGTCATTTACGTCAACCAACATTCAGCATTCCCTCCGCTAGAACAGAGTGCCGACAAGTACAACTGCGCACAATTCCCGGTGAAACGGGCAAGTTCGACGTTTAGACCAAACTTTATGGATGAATATTTTACTTATTCTGAAATCTCACAATTTGTCCATCACGTTCTGGGAGTCTGCTCTACTCCAGGCCTTGCACTCAACCAGATTACTTTTCGCGCACTGCTACTTATGTGACACCGCATAAAAGATCGTCTACTAGAACCAGTCTCCACTCGTGGTTTACCTCTCATGCTGGGTTCTGCTGAATAACACCATCCGGTACTTTAAATGTGAGTTCTTCGTTAAGGAAGTCAATATGTCCCAATGCAGCCTCCAATACACGCGCGGTTTACAAATAATGAAGAAGGAACATTAAACAAGGAAGCGACATCAGTTCGGCTGACAGGGATGGCGGAAAACCTGTTGATACCCGTAACGATGATGATGTCCACCGTGTGCTCCACAGCAAGGTGATGCAGGCACGGTGACTTGCGCGTGATTTAGTTTGTGGTGATGGTAGACTTGCACAGCACCTACCGCACTCTCACCTACCCCATCTGGACCCCGTATCAAGACACAGTCAAGAAGACCGGAGGCGGAGGAAGCAGGTGGATGGCACGATCGAGCCCGCACCTTGGCGCTACACTCCACACCCCCTGGTCCACACAGCAAGTGACCAAGATCTTAACCAACAACAGCACGCACCGTGATAGTTTTTGAATCGGATCGCGCAAGCAGGAGAGGTGCCGCATGAAGACGAACCGAGACGCATGCTTCCCACTTGCGTGGGAGGTGGCGATTGGATGCTTGTGATTGATGATGATGTTGTGTGTTGCAGGTGGGGAAGATGTGATGGTGTGGTGTAGCCGGCGGTTGTCTACGGTAGGTTTTCGTGAATGCGCATGTGGCCTAATAGGACCAAGGATTGGGTGAATGTTCGGGGAGCAGTGAGGGCAGTTGAGGCAGATGCGTCTGGTGTATGTTTGTGTTCCAGGCACTAGTTCGCCAGTCTCTGTGCGATGGATTCGCAATTGACCGACCAGGCTGATGTGTGAGGTGAGTGTACGGGGACAGTGTGAACAGGAAAAGCCGGCAGTGTCAGTATCGGTTTCGGAGATGGTGGCAATGATGGAGTTGCTGATGGTGGACGCGCTGGGCGACAGGGTGCGTGTTGGGCTAGGCACGATGGATGTGCAAGATGTACTGAGTGTGGGGTGCTGATGGTGGTAGGCGTGCTGGGCGGCGTGGTGTGGGGTGGGTTAGGCATGCTGGGTGCGCAGGAGGTGCCAGGTGCTTCGAGGCTGCGGTCAATTCCGCTCTCGTGGATACGCATGTGACCGAATAGACCCATGCGGTGAGTGAGTGTGCGGGGCAATGTCGACAATGGAGGCGAACGCGGCGAATGTATGTTGGTGCTCCAGACACCCGTTTGCCAGTCTCTGTATGATAGATTCGTAAGTGATCGATAAGGTCGATGTGCGAGTTGAGGTAACGATCGCACTGAGGACAGGTATGGATCGAGTCCACATCGCTGGTTGATGTTTTGTGAAGAAGGAGATACGATCGTTGGGACAGGAGCTTTTTTGGCCTGACGTTTCGGATTCCTGCTCAAAATGATCATCAGAGAAAGCACCCGTACTTGGTTTTGTCTCTGATGATGGGTTCGATCAGGAATCTCATTTCGCAAGTGGTCGATAGGGCCGATTTGCGAGGTGAGGGCGCGACCGCAATGAGTACAGGTATCGATCAAGTCCGCATCGCTGGCGTTGATGGTGGGGAGTTTGATGTTTGTTGGTGTGCCAGGATTGTGTGCACTGGTGGTGGGTACAGGAGCAGCCGTAGCG